CCCCACTTGGGCAAGGGTGGTCAAGGGCCCACCCAAAAATTTCTAACTTTTTCTTTTTATATTAATAACAACAAGAAAAGGAAAAAAGAATAAAACTTACTCCTCTCTTTCTCACCCATGGAGACTCAGGATTTTGCAAATTCTTTGACAAAATTGGCTAGCGAAAGAGAAGCTAAAGCTAGCTTTTAGCATTTTCGGTTATGGAACTTGTTCATTTTTTTTACTATCGTTAGGGATGATTTTTTATGTGTACACATATAAAGAATTGGTCTTTGGTACTTGTATAATTGGGTTCTATTTAATATATTTGTTTGGTATGTCACGGTCTTGTCATTCGGAATACTGTTTCTTCTATCTTGTTCTAGAATTGAAAATTAGTTTTCGATAAAAATCTTTTGGCGGATGGCATTTCTTAAACTTCGTTGTTAAATCTTAAAATTGCGATGGAAAAGACTGACATGATTTCAATTCGGAGAAATTCATATGGTAGACATTGGAACATGAGACTTTTGTCCAAAAATAAAGCAATCAATCCAAAGGCTTAAAATTGTTTATTTGAATACATTTTCTATTGTCTTCTACTCTTTTCAGATGACTTATAATTTACGGTGAATATTTTACACCTACTTGATGCCAATAAACAAATTTTGCACTCCTTCAATAATTTAATGGTATGGTTTAACAGAGGATATTTTTTAGATTAGATTTGAAAATTTGATTTTTAATGACTTTTTATTTAACAAAATTGACAATGATGTAATTATACGACGTTTTTGAAATATTAAAACACGTCGAAAATAATTATCATAATGTAATGTTTTTATTTTATATTATTTATATTTACTTTTGCTATATAATATTTGTCCACCTAAATAAAATATTCTAGCTCAGCCATACACCTATCCAAAACCAACAAAGCACTTCGATATTGCAAGGATAACCATATTAGTATTCGTTAATACACTAAAGAGCAATAACAATTTTTTTGACTTTTTGGAGGAGAATTTCCGTGGAGTACATTTCCCTTTCACCGAATTCTCATTTCTCGATTTTTCTTCACTGTTTCTCCTTGCCCAGCCGTGCTGCTCCTAGTCAATGCAAATATTGCGCATTCAGTAAGTTAGACGATACGACTCAAGACAATATTAATGAAGAAAAATAAACTAAAAATTCGATCTAATAATATCAAATTAATTTACACCCCGTTTGTTTCTAATTTTTTATTCATGAAAATGAAAAATATGATCGTTATCCATCACATCAACATTTAAATTTTCTTTTTCTCTTGTGTGGGCTCAATAACGGCTATATTTTTCATTCTCATTCTTTANTATGATCGTTATCCATCATATCAACCCATCAATTTTGAATTTCTATCTCTTGTGCGGGGCCCAATAACGATTATATTTTTCATTCTCATTTTACAATAATGTGTAACAAACGGGGCCTTAACTAGAAAAAGTACTTACAATGGGACGGACATAACAGTTAGTATGTACTAGCGCTATTAATGTACAAGCAACTCACTGATGTGTATAACCGGTACTTAGAAAAATGAGTTTGTCTAGTAGATAATTGAAAAAAGAAGATTCTCCCAACCGTATAGAGGTGTTGACGGACGGGCCGGTCAGACCCGTGAAAACCTGCCCGTGAAAATCGAGACCGCGGCCCAACCCGTAACCCGTGCGGGCGGTTCACAGGCCGAAGAGGTGTAACCCACGGGCTTTGCGGGTTTCACCCCCATGGGCCGTGGTTAACCCGTGACCCGTAAAAAAATATATATATATATATAAAAAATTAAATTTTAAATATGGTAACAATGAAAATATGTCTTCTTCTCCAATCTCTAGTACAACTTCTAAAGGCAAATCTTCTTTTTTCTCCATAATAGCTAAGAAACGAAATGTTCTTGGTTCTCTATCTACTACTTCAACTACAAATCCCCATA